CCCAAGGCATCAAACTTTATAGTACCCTTTCACCGTATTTCATCGATAGTTTGATTTTAGAAACTAAAACTAGCAGTTGGTATGACAAAGGTGATATACTAAGAGCCTGTTAGCTCACCTAGATTTATGAGAGTACCTTTGTAACTACTTTGAACTTTCTTTCAGAAGAAACGAGTATTCATGGTTGTTCATATTAATTCTTTGCAATAATATTACAAGATAGTTATCATCTTTTATTTAGAAAAAGTATTATCCGGATGTCAGAATCTGAGTCAGTTATATGATGTTTTGAATAGTCTCAACATGCTACCCATAACATCACAACTCTCTAATGTGTAGAGGAGTGGATGTAAAGACTTGCGATTTAGATATACTTCCTTTATTTCCTTCTATGAGAATTTTACATGTGCTCCAATATGATTTGAGATGTTCTCGGAAATAATGGTAGAGAAAGAAAAACTTTGACTTGTCTCATTGTTAATTGATGAGTCGAGCGGGTTGAGTTCTGTGTCAGTGTTGAGAGACAAAAGATTGATTCCTCAAGTCTTAATTTATGAAATTAAGATATCTCTTCAGCTGATGTTTCCGAACGTGAAGCACCTTCAGGGACTAGCTGCTTGTTCTAGGGTCAGTGGAATATAATCTTTGTTCCAAGAGTTCATTATAACACTCATATCGTGGTGAGCACCACTTTGACGTTGGAGAGAGCTCTTTCGTCGCTGCGGTGTACATCCATGTGTAGAGAACGCGTAGAAATAAAACCCCAGGGACTCGAGGTGTAGGTGAAAATTAAACTGCCCCGACAACTGTGAGATATCTCGAACTTGATAACTTGAAATTAAGACTTGATTTATCTTTTGCAGTTCCAGGGGATGATGGTGAGGAGATACGTTTCACACATAGGTGCGTCAATGATGAGTGCAAGTGTTAGCGAGTACGTCAAGGGAGCGTCGAGAGTTCGCCTGCACGGGCCCATTTTGCGGAGTGCACCAACTCTAAGACATATCCATGCATGGCCTTGAAGATGCGGGTCCTTGGCGCCAAATTCTGGACCGGAAAGGACTATCGTGCCGCCGACGCATGAAAAGCAGGTCGGCCACAGAGCGCTTGCAGTAGTTACTTCTTCCGAGACATCCAACGGCTTCTCACCTGGCTAGCCAAGTTTGTGGCACCGCGGACCATCACACAGCTGGCTATCTTTTCCCACGGGGCGAAGTTGCTCATCGGATCAATTGGCTCCTTGGTTTGATACTCGGCTGCTAAGAGAAGAAGAGAAGTACTGTATGATGAAACCCACACAAACTCTGAAGAGTTTCGAGAATGCTATGACTTGGGCAACTGAAGCTACTAAGAAGACAATGGTTTATCCTTCTGCAAACAGCATATTTCAAGATCTTGCTCCATAAATATTTTACCTCGCCTGCAGCTGCTTATCAACTTATCCTGCACCATACACAGTAAATGATATATATTAAGATGCGTGGCAAGATGAGGGCTGAAATGGAAATTGTCTACCCAGCCCCTTTTCAGAGCTCCTCTGTCAAATGACCACAGGAGGTTGGTGTAGTACGAAGAAGCTGGGTGCATGCTTTTCAGACAATCTCTTAATAATTCCCGTCGCTATAACACTGGAGAAGTTTGACGAGACATGAAGCTGAAATTACTTGAATCCACAGAGTCTATCTAGAGTGTCGTATTCACAGTCTAGGCCAGCATGTTAGACAACTGCCATCCAATAGCGATACGGGCGAGTGCATGACATTCATTACCTCGTGGCCATTTATCCATGGAGCTGGATTGGAACTGAGTCCGCAACTAGACTTCACTCTTCAAGGACATTGTGAGATCTTCACACAAATAATGCAGTGGAAATCCAGTATTATCCAAGTCTTAGGGCTGGTAGCTCAAGCCAGAATGCATGGCCCAAGTTGTTAAATGGAAGCTATTAGTCTTCCCTGTGTTAATCTTCAGTCATCGCGGGTGTGCTCCGAACCCTCGAATTCTAGACCATTGATACTCGATCGTCCAAGCAGTGTCCCACTGTCTCTGCCGCGAGCACTAGATGGTTTCAAGGCTTTTCATAACCAGTATCAATGAGCCTTAGATACGCCCGGTCAAGATTACGACGCCTCCCACTGGTCTGGAGAGACAATACGGAAGCACGGTCGTCATGCCCTTCGGTACTCACGGGTGGGCCGCGGAGCAAGCGGGAAATTTTACCATCAGCCCACAACATGGGACCGTGTGCAGATAGCGTAGTTCATCTTGGAGCACTGTTTGACTTTGCTGAGCTCTTGCGACATTCTTTCTGACACGACTCCGGTAAATTCAGCTGATCTCACAATACCAACCTAGTGATTATGGACACAGTTCCTGGGCCTAGATATGAATCTGACTAGGCTCCCGATATGCTGATAATCATTGGAGTGATTTATTCCCAGCCACTTCGCCATTGAACGGAGTGCGAAAGATCAAGTACTAAGCGTGGTCACGTGAGGGGTTGCAGCAGGTTTTGGTTATGAATCATGAGATCCCGAATATTGTGATCAGCTACCTTGTCTACTAACTTTCCAATGAAATTTCCCGAGCCTGCGTGCCCGAATCGGGAACGGAGGCAGCTGCGTTATCGTAGGCATGTTCACTTCCTGGGAACTGCAAAGATTGGCTCGATATCAAAAGTCGCCAATTATGATCGCAGATAGAACAAGGTTGTCTTCGAGTCCGCGCCTCCTTGCTTGTGTCGCGTTCTGGCGTATGGCTATCCATTTCAATTGGAGAAAATTAAACAAGTAAAAAATTACTATCACAAACTCGAAGCTTTTTAGAAAGCATTGCTAGGCCCTGATTGTCTTTTTTATCATTCAATCCTCTTTAGCTTTAGACTCAGTAGAGACTTTAGTCAAACTTCATTCATCATGTTCGCGCGCACAGTTATGTGCCAAGGGCGATCGGTGGGAAATAAGAGGGAAGTCTACGAGTTAGTGAGAGCCAGCGGATCCGCTACCGCGGGTGAAGACCCCCGCTACCCGCCAGTGGCTACCGCCCTCGTGCAGTGGTGGATAGATTTTCTAGGGGTCTGGTCTGCGCAGGGGCCATCTCTGTCCACGTCTGTTGTCGTAGCTGCCGCAACTTGAGACTACGGCCCGTCGTGGCAGGCAAGCCGATAACGGCGGACTGATGATGCGACGGCACACAAGTCAAGGTCTGGGACTGTGGCGGCCTGGTTAGCTAGTGCTTGCTAGCAGATGAACGTGTGATTCTGGGTAATGTCAAGGGGCAAGGTTAAAGGTAGGATCGGGTCGGGGACTACCTGATGCCCAGCTTTAGGTCTCTACCCGTCCGCTGCAGAATATAAAAATTATCGGTCACAACACTCCTACATCAATTCGGCCATCCCGCCCTCTCACCCCGTGATTTGAACCGTTGATGCATCTGCTAGTACTCATCCTGATATTTTCCCTGCACTCGCACACACACCGGCAGAAGAAGCCGCTTTAAAGCGTGCAAAGGGCTAAATATTTAAAACTTTTCACCGCCCTCGCTAGACCCGCAGCCTACGTGAGTCAGAAATATGCACGTGACATGCCTCGTTTAAGTGACGCCGACGCAAAAAATGGAGTCGAGTGGCGTTCACATATGGTTCGAGGCCATTGCACAGTTATCCATGTGTCTGGTGCAGTAATACGCGCATGTCAGGTCTGATAACAAACTACTTCGCGTTCTGTAACAGCACAGTGGATGAGCTGAAGTATTCGGCCATGATAATTATGCTCCTGAACCAGCCTATCCAAAGAGCATATCCCAGCACTTGCGCTAAGTGTGGCTGATTTATTCGTGGGGCTCACACCCAATACTTGAAGGGACCGTGGGGTCTTGAGAAAAAGAAATGCTCAAGTCTTACCCATTAAAAATAGAATTCGACAGGTAGTGCAATAGACAGGCATCTCCTTTCCGATCCGCAATACTTTGCGCCGTCAGCAATAAATGTTTGGCCTCCATGCCGACGGTTCCACCTCAAAGCGCCGCCTTACTACAGACTCCGCAGAGCTCGTAACGTAATCAATCGCAGGGTGGAGCTTGGTCTCTACTTACCATCTATCTGGTTATGTTTCTCGTCTCAGCCTTTATTTAGTTCGTCGCCTGAGTCCTCCGCTCCGCCTGTTAATTCCACGGTTTCCCGTTTCTTTTGTGAAGATCGTAATCTATACAAGTGTGGTAAGTCTGTCAAAAAGCGAAGTGATTTGTTTAATAGGTCAGGCGAACAGTGTGGCTGACTAGTTGCTAAGTCAGCAGTGGCTCCTCTGATGATGTATCTAGCGCCTAAATAGACGAACTTAGTAAATTTTGATCCACTGCTGGTATACCCTGAGCATCACTTATTATTTAATGAGTACTCACCAATGTGGTACTTGGGATATCCGCGAGACTGACAGTGCGAGAAGAGCTCTAGGTGCAATTACGGTTTAGCAGATTAATATGTGCTAGAAAGTGGATCGTGTGAGTGATAAAGAGGGAGAGTGTGATAGCTCGGAACGCGCGCGAGAAACTAATCAATCGTTGTTGCCGGCCCCCCGAACATATTTTCCCCACCCCTCCACCCTCAATATCGACCCTCGAGTTGACGCGCCACATTTCACTGGTTCCAGTTCTAACCACCGACCATTGTTAACTGCGTGTTCTCCATCGCTTTAACTCTATATTCAAAGATTTCTATCCTTCGAAAAATTTAAAGGACTATTCTACTTTCCGGAGTCCGTCTGCCACTCAGAAATTTCATACGGCCAGCCATGTTCGGATGATTTTAAGGGTACTTGAAATTTCTCATGGTTCCTGCCACTGTGTCAACCGCCCTCAGCCTAAAATCGGAAGGACAACGCAGGAGCTATTGTAAGCTAATTTTGCTCCTTTCTCTATTCTCCAACAGGCCCGATCTGAAAATCTGGATTGAGTCTTAAACTTTATTATCTCACATCTCGGCCATTGACGAGGACGAAGAGATTATGCAGATTTCTACCCAATCTATATTTGCGGCAAGCTCGTCATCACTTGCTGTTGATTCGAAGATGCCGGGACAGTCTGATACTGATCCTGATTTTGAGTTTTTTGATGCTACCAATCTTGAAGCTGTAGCTAGTCCAGGGCAAATTATCAATGATCTTGTAGCCGATAACTCTTCGCACTCATTGTCTTCCATGGTTCCTTCCAAACTTCAGACTCAATCCGAGACGACCACAATGACCAGTAACGTCGATCAGCCAATATTTTCCACCTCCTCCATGGGATCTCCTGCCTGCTCATACCAAGACTCGTCCTCCGAATCTTCCGACTATCCACGAAAGTCGAGCTCAGGTTCCGTGACTTCTGTGCTAACTCCCGGCGACATATTGAAAAGTGACGATTCAGATTTAGTCAGAGAATGGAATATATTGAGCGGAGATGAAAGTGCAAGCTTTCCGGGCTTTGTAGATGGATGTATCAATCCCTCCGCCATGAATCAAAACTTTTTTAATACCGATGGTGGCACGGATCATGATCTTGACTTTGGAAGCTCACCGAGTAGTCCGTCTTTCGGAAATGATGTCGCAGCGATGGAGTCGCCAGAGCCTTCGAATAAGTCGAGGACTCCCATTAAAGATTCCTCTAGAAAGAGCACCTGCAGAAACAAAATTTCCAACTTGGTGGGACCTTCCAAATATTGATGCTGACATCGGCTAATCAGTTACAGCAACACCAATTGAAACAGCCTCTAAAGGGTCCTCCGACAACCGACTCTGGAGACGGTTCTCCTCTCTCAGCCATGATATCGAGCCAGGGATCCTCTCCGAATTTTTACCTCTCGCCTTCTCCCAGATCTGCCAGCTTATGTTGTATGGATTACGTAAATAATAATGTTCTTGGCCCCGCCATGCCGAAACTGGCGACAAATATGGAAATTCTACAACATCATGGACTCCCTACTCCACAACGAACTCAACAAATGAGCTCGAGGAGAGTATCTTCCCAATATCTCCCTATGTCTTATCCACTGCAGCCAATTCTTACCATACATCCGACACCTTTAAAGTCTCGTGTGGAGACTCAGATCCCGATAAAGATGACCCTTTTTCCTGTCCCCATGGGTATCACTAAACTCCACCTCCCAACCCATACTATTTCTAAACCGAAGCTTCTCGCGAAGCCGACTCCTCAGCGATCGCCAGATACGCTTGAGTTGTATACATCCCTAGTCTGTACGAGCGCTATGCAAAATCAAGAACTCAGAAAGCGTGCTTTTGAAAGGGCTGCATCATCAGCTCGAACTCTTATATCACCAAAGGAAGAGCCCGATGGCAGTGGCTCAGATGAAGATGATGAAAATAAGCCCGCAAACGGAGGAGAGGTCAGGATCTGTGGTGGATGTATCATTCGGGAACGGAAGCGTGCTGCTCGTAAAAAAACCAAGAAAATCGAGGAGGAAGAATCGTGGCAGAAATATGAGACACAGCGTGTGATCGTTTTTAACACACATGAAGTGAAGGATTGGCAATCTCCTTCTCAACAACAGCCACACGATGTCGCTGGAGAACTTACCGAGCCTTATATACCTGAGGGTGCTATGCAAGTCGATGCTCCCATGCGGATCGCATGTTATTGCCGACACCAGAACGAGAAATCCGGGTTTCAAGTAATCTTCACCTTAAAAGATAATCAGGATAAATTAATCGCACAAGCCATCACATCTTCAATTATGATAACAGATGATCACAAAACATCTTCTATGCCCTCACTCACTCCTCAAATATCAATGGGACACGAGTTCTCCGTCTCGAACCAGCCTACCGAAGGGTCTTTTGATACGGGCCCCACACCAGGAAATACAGCCGCATTTCGTCTCTCGAATTCTAGTTGGAACCTCAACGCCTCGCTACAACGAGGAGTAGTTAACGAAGTTCATACCTCTCCGACAACTGGAAATTCTCCCCTCTCTCAAACAATGCTGACCTCAATGACTCCAAATTTTTCTCGTCAAACTTCTCCCACAATTTCTCAGGGACCAGTATCGAAGAAGCGAAAAGCAGTCTGTTCCACAAAAGTTCCAACAGCCCTAACAATGACTAGAATAGAAAACTCAGAATCCCAGACAATGGCCATAGCAAATTCCACTATCCCATCACCCTTTACGCCTAGTTTTTCAACTTTTTCTGGAGCGAATGAACAAGGATTTAATCAGTGTAACAGTCTTCAGAACATAACGACACACTTTAACGGTCCTCCTACACCCAACAGCACCGGGCAAATCTTTTCTAATGTGAATCGGTCGCATTCCACGGACAACCTTGCCATGCAGCAAATATATAACACACCTGGGTCAGGAATGCCAAGCCGAGTCTCTAGTCCAAGTGGAATGAGGCTAGAATCATACCAACGTCATCAGGCCCAATTAGCGCACGCCGTCGCGAATGGACTGTATGGTATACCTATGAGCCTTAATCCTCACCGTCCACCCATTATTCACAAAATGATTCCCAACGAGGGACCTAGAGCTGGTGGGATCGAAGTTACCTGTTTGGGAAGTGGTTTTGTTCAGGGGTTAGAAGTCATGTTTGGTGAATCTAAAGCTACCACAACAACTTTTTGGGGAGAAACCTCCTTGGTTTGCTTGTTGCCACCTTCAGCATTTGCAGGAAATGTCCCTATTACTTTTAAACATCAACAGATGAATCTATACCCAATTATCATGCCAAAACAGCAACTATTTTTCAAGTACGTTGATGACGACGAATTGCAAATTCTTCGGACCGCCCTCTCCGTATTAGGACACAAGATGACTGGTAAAATGGAAGATGTCCGCGATATTGCCAGACGTATAGTTGGTGATAGTTCTAATTGGGTTGCAAGATCTTCTTCAGGTACTGCCCCTCTACGCAGTGGTACAGGCTTCAACTCGGCTAGGCTTGATGAAGACGTGGAAACGATATTGTTAAAATGCCTGGACTTGATGGATCTAGACGATAGCCTCAATCCGCCTCGCTATAATTTAAAGAGATCCTCTGGTCAGACTATGCTTCATCTAGCCTGCTCACTAGGACTCTATCGCTTCGTTGCCGCTCTTTTGGCGCGGGGAGCCAATCCCGAACCAGTCGACAAAGGCGGTTTCACCCCCATGCACTTTGCTGCTTTACATAACCATCATCAAATTGTGAAGAGACTTATACTTTGTGGTGCTACTCCAAATATTCGCAGCCTACAGGGATACACTCCAGCCGACTTGACATCGTCCGCGGAACTACTTCAGACAGTGTGCCATACCGAGCAGACATTTAGAAGACGAAGTGGAATGTTTCAGAAGGACAGGAGAAATAGTTCATTATCCCTCAAATCATATGCAGGGCGTGAATTTGTCTCATCTCACCCCAATTTTGAGGCAAATGAGAATAGCGGCGTTGACAGCGAGTATGAAGATTGTGATGTAGATTCAACGCAAAAATCAGGTTTCTGGATGAAACCAGAAAATCATCTCCCGAGGAGTCTAAGCGAGCAGAAATTTCATTATGACCTTGAGAACACTAAGATTCCCGTGTTGGAAAGCTTAGAAAGCCCAATGAGTATTGACTCAAGCGCAAGCCCACCATCAGTCACAGCTGTAGCAGGTGTGCGGGACCATATATCTGCCCAAATTAACTACATTCAGCAAACCATGCATATGAGTCTACCGAATTTGCCTCAGATTCCACGCCTCGACACAGTATCGCAAATTCTTGCACTCCCAGGTTACCCAGCCTATTTTCCTAATGCGACCCCAATGGTTCGCCGGATATCCAAGTTAGTACAGCGCCCGAGCGCTGTTAAGGAACAAGATAATAAATGGTGGGATCTTTTCTCGAACAGTGCCCCAGTACCACCTCCTGCTTATGAAGATATTTTTCCTCAAAATAACCAAAGAACCCAGGCTGGCCAGAGAAGTAATCTCGATGACGAAGACTTTGAACTTATGTCGAAAAATTTGTCTAACGAGAATAAAAAGAATAGTAGAGCTTTTGATGAAGAGAAGAAGCCTATCATTTTACCATCCGCACAAATTGGGACCAGTCATACAATGACGGAGGAGCAACGAGATCAACTGAGACAAGCACACGCTGAGAGGGTTAAAAGGCTAAGCCGAGACAGGAATTTGTTCTTCATATGGGTAAGCTCTCCTGTTCACTTTCATTCAGAATTAGCCGTTAAATTAAGACAGATTCCTCTCCTCATTGTACTTGCCATGACATTTAACCATATTCCTGATGTATGGCCTAGATCTGGTATTTTATCCACCTTTTATCGCCGTGATCTAGGCGATGTGCAATGAGGTCAATCAACTGCACATGTCAATTAAAACAAATAGAAGTAGGCCCAGTTACTTTTTGGTTATTTTACTGTATTTTTGTTCGAGGGTATCATTAACTTACGTGGTAATCTTATGGATGGGCAAAGAGGGGGTGTGGGGGGAGTCAGCATCATCTCCCCGTTTTAATGTTGGCGAGCGGGATCACAGGACTGATGCAATGATGAATATGAAAAAATTTACTCGTTTCTACCCCACCAGCACTTGGAAGTTTGTATGCAGATTTTGCTTCAACTTTATTTTATGCACTGGCTTTTACTGTATGATACGGCTCGTTCGCAGTTCAGCTCTCTTTACGGGTCAACTTGATGGAAGTTGCTTGCATGCTCAGCGATCGGTTTGATTTCCTTGACACATTTTACCAAAATGATTACAGGCCAGTTTAGGGTGAAAAGTTCGGATGTAGCCTAGAGTAGGATACAACATATCGGGTCTGGTTGGCTGAATGTATTAGAGCGTGTGAGGTGTTGCGGAAGACGTTCGCGGTGAGCCTTTGTGGCGGGGCGCAAGCTATCGCGTTGCTGTATGGAAAAAAGTTGATGGCGGTACGATTAAAAGGGCCAAAAAAATGAATTTAGGTGATCCGAGGTGGGCCGACAGGTAGACTGGCAGTTGCCCGCCCTGCATGCGAGCTACGCGCGTATTGCTAAACAAATCAAATCTGACTGGTACCGTCTGAAGTATTGCAATGCTACGCAAAGGTCTAATTTGTAGTGTGAAGGTTCGGCCAAGGTCTCGCCGCCGGCGCTAGGTTCGATTATCACGGTTGACCAGGTAACACTCCTCGTCTGCCGTGTCCCGTCGAGATCGGAGATTGATTGGCAACTGGGTGAGACGCTTCCAGTGTCTCACGGCCTCACGCGAATGATTAGTGAGCAGGTAACTCCAAGGTTCATTCCTTGGAAAATTTGCTACACAGATAAATGGGGCTCGGGCGTGCAGGATAAGCTACAGTGTTTAGACTACCTGGGAACAGTAGCTAAGAGCTGAATCAGCCTGGCGAGAGTTAGTGATCTAGGGCTCACCCAGGCGGGATCTACTGACGAAGATGCAGTAGAACTGATGTCCTACGAGCACTTTTACATCGGATACAATCATTGTCACTTCCCAGTATATGATTATATTGAACGTACAGGACCTCTCTTTCAACGGACCAAGGATACCTACTCCAATAGCATATCTTCTCCGACACGGTTTGGGGGAAGAAAACTTAACACCTGTCAGTGGTGTCCCCTACGAACTTCTAGCCCTCACTTCAACGAGGATTTCCGACTGCTTTCGCGATCTGTATCATCTTCATCATTCAATACATTCCCCTATCACCACTATCATGAATTTTTCGGAGAAGATTCCGCGGAGACAGTGGCTGAATTCTACATGTAAATACTGAGCTGAATGGCTATCCATTATGGGCATTGTGTCAGAAATTTTTTAAGTAGCAAAAGAAGATAGTAGCACCGTACAAGGCGTGGCCTGGGTCAGAGAAGAGCTCAATGTGCTACATAGTTATTGATACAAGTGGTGTAGTAAAATCTTCATCAAACTGGAGTGCCATATAACTTAGGTATCACAGCTAAGCGAAGGATGCGAATCCTCGTTCTTTGTGGATAATAGACGGCTCCTCGATGTATTAATTATCATGATTCTAGCTGGTAAAGGATAAAAGTTTTTTCCGTTCCATATCATTAATGGTATTCATTGCTAAATGCACCAATTCAACAGACTGCACTTTTAGGACCAATAAAATAAAATCGCCTGTATATGAAAGAAGAAATGTCTGCCTTTCCCGCTCTACTCCAACTTCCTTTGATGCTTCGGGTAAGGATGATAGTGTGTTGAAGTGCCCGGCCTGTCTTGACCGGTAGTCCAAATTCTTTGTTACGTCTTGGGTAGAGGATAATCCCGTAGAATCGTCGACAAAAGGAACTCTCCTGGCTAACATTGTACTAATCCATAACGTTGCAGACTCTAGGTTGAGAACTGGTTAGCCGGCGTGACGAATTCAACCGTGAATCTGGATATTTCGTCTGTTTGTGCACGCCACTACTTACTGGGTCATTCCCCTGATTATTTCACAGCCTGATGTGAGGCTGGGCGAACTTCTTTCCCGATGGTTCGGTACGAGGATGACCTTGGGAGTGGTGAGGGAAAGGAGGGGACAACCCTCCCTAGAAGAGTCAGTGCCGATTCATTACTAATCAGCCGCCCGCAGGCCGCACGGGAGTGGGAGTGGGAGGGCACAGACAAGGCCGCTTACGCCTGAGCCGGCGATCTACGAGGCAAAAGATCGCGCCATTTCGTCATCCTCGGCGATATCTCATGCGGCCTCGAACTCACACCTGCCTATTCGTAAAGGGTCTCATGGCTTAGCCATGAGTCGTCCGGGTCTTTCTCTAGAATATCTGCTCCATCTGCAACAGGAACGCTGCCGCTTCGAATTCTGCAGTCCCTTATACCCTGCAATGGAACGAACACAAATCTAATGGAGCGAACCAGGGTAGAATAGGTCTTTGTTAATCTTCCCTGAGTCAGGTATCTGCGGTCGAGGTGGGGTGCAAGTCAGCGGATGCCTAGGTCACTGTATTAGCGTATGCGGTCCATTTAATTAGTGCTCAAACTACCATCGAAATAGTGTCGGGTCGCCGGCAAAGACGAATTCTTCACCTTCCAGTGGTGCCTGTGTAATCGCTCAGTATGCTCTGGATATCTGGGATAGCCAAGAAGAATCGCATCCGAATCGAAGTCGAAAGCAACCTCAAGCACATCTCCATTTGACGACTTCTCGACAATGCCTCTCTCATCATTATCATCTGAGTCCTCAACCCATCTCTAACCACGCACCATCTCGCCTCAACGACCAATAAAGAAGTTGCTCCAATTGCAGACAGGAGCTTGCCCCAGTAACCTCCAGCCATCACTCACTACATATTTACGACGCCATTAATACCCGCAAGGGGGAAATCAAGTCGAAAAATATAAGGCCTGGGTCATGGCTTATGGGGGACAGTTGTCTTAGTGGGGTTATACATCTTGAGGAAGGATAGACGGCTGAGATGTGGAGCAATAGGAGAAAGAAGTCTCTGAAGACCATGCTGGCACTGAAACTTTCGAGGGGACTCTCAACTTTGGATATTTTGTGGGCGCCAAGACCGAGATTTCGGCTAATTAACTAAGAGGGCTTCTTTTGTAGACGAGTCAACGGCACAGCCCAGCGCCCTGAACGGTACAAAAGAAGTCGGGCTAAGCTACTATACAGCAGTCACGCTCTGTCAAGACTTTTCTGACATTTCAGCACGAACTTCGGGAAGGAGTTGGAAGGAGGCTAGAAAAGCAGAGTGTGAATTCTCCGAGGTACCCACAAGTCTGCAGCGCCCAGCTGGCCGGCCTCTTCGAAGGCTCCGGAAGGATCATTATGTCTTTGGATTTAGTGCTAATGTCGGTATTAGGAGAGCTCCGCACCCAGTGGTTTTTTGCGATTTTTCCCGGCTGCTATACACCCGCAAATGGCCATCGTTTCGTTGGCTGGAGAGGGGAGACAATGAAGGGCTGAGGGCTCCTCTTAGTGTATGATCGAATGAGGACTTGTGAGGGGTTGTACTATTTGAGGGGAGTTGTATGGGAGGCATAGGAGGGGATATACTACTGGTATAGGTATTCTTCGCCTGTAGGCAGAGAGGACCTGCATGTCCTACATAGTCATAGACTCAGACAGGACAATAAAATTAATTAATAATAATTATTATTATTATTATTAAGGAAATAATGACCCCTCAGTCATTGAGGTTGTAGAACGCGTTGATTCAAGTAACTACCGAAGTGAAACTAAGTACAGAATTTGTAGTCACGTATGTATCGACAACGTGGCTTACTCGATAGCCCCAATTATTCTAAATTCTAACAATAATAATAATTAATAATAGTGTCGGGTCGGTCAGATGGCAGGACTTGCACCTTGCACCGTGAAAATCAAAAATTCTTGTAAGCCAGTAGCCTCTCGCACTATTTCCCTACTGAACTTAGCCTCGATGGCCTTAGGCATAATTCCCCTCAGATTTACGCCTCAGGGCAACGATGCATGCGTGGAGATCACGAGAGCCGAATTTGGAGCAAGGCGTGCGAGGGACCATACCACCGTGCTTGGCCGGTCCAGGCCATGGTATGTCTCCATCAGCTAGCCTGGGCCCTGTTCCTTCCGTTGCTAGTGAGGCGAGAGGATGGATCGCCTGACAAAAGCGAGATCACCTCACTCGGAAGGGCTCCATCACCGCAGAGCAGAGCAGTCCGAGTGTGCGTTGGAATGAGATCCCGTTTTTTGCAAGCGGCCTCACACTATCGGACGCCAATCAAAATTTGCAGTATCCATTACAGCGCGAAATTGAGCTTGCGGGTCCGATCTGAGGTATCGAACGGCACAGTAGCGCCCATGCTGAGCTCGACCCCAGGAATTTGACCTACGTACCCCGGTCTCACATCTGCCCCTCTAGCGTCGACAGCTATGACCGCCATGCGCCCGTGCTCGGGCCCAGGAATCCAGACCTCAAGCAGGCCTCTCGTCGCGCCCTCGTGTATCGAGATGCCGCCAAAGCCCTCCCACACGCGTCTTGCTGAGTGCTTGACCCTTCTGCGCTCGCAGCGCAGGGGGGCATGTCACGAGGCGGTCGTGGCCGCTTCAGGGAGCGATCAACCATGCCCAGATTGCCCCTCTAGAGCGATGCAGGAGACAAATTTACTATCATTGGTTGTATTTAATACTGCCTCATTGTGCTTAGTCTGCCCCGTTCGTCGGCACCCCATTGTTATGCATGTGACATGGTCTTTTTGCCAAAATTTGACGCTAGTCCCAGTGTTGACTTGACATTGATGCGGTGTTTTGCCATTTTAACCAGAAGGTACGGATAGTGCAGCGGTATGCCGTTCCAGATGTTCTCTCAGGTAGCTTGAACATCGTATGAGACTGGAGCGCT